TTTGTACTTTAGTTAATAATACAAAATAGCAAAACCAAGTTCAATCACGACAATGGAGCAGAGTGAAGACAACTAAAATGCTGTATTTATTTATTATTTTTTTTCAAGACATACTGCTGAAGTTAAGTAAAATACATCTCCGCTGCTAAGAATGATGTCCGGCTCAAGTTAACTGATTTTGCTGTACTGAGAATGAGATCAAAATTAAAGTAAAAAGTTTAAGTCTGTATAAAATTGAAATTAACTTTACCTTGCCCGTGCTTTGTTTACATGAATTTCAAGCATAGCTGTGGTTATTCCTTATGGGTGGACAGGTTGATGTGCCTGAAAACTCCAAAGATCAGTCCGTATAATCTGGATATAGACTATTTTCCCTGTGCTGCATATTGTGCTTAACGCACTCACGGCAGAAGCACGTTCCATGCAATGCAACTTCAAAATCGACAGATACAAGTTCCACTCAATAGGTTTTGTAGGTTTTCTGACGAAGAAGATCACCACACAAGTCGGTTTCTCACCGGCGAGTTTACCAGTTGTAATAGTAAAATGCCCTCTTATTCCTTACCCTGTTGGGAAATTTCTTGGCCTGATAAAGTATATCATTTTTTTCCTTCGCATCAGAAATCCAAGGGTGACCACAGTTACAGCTTTCAACAAATCAATGGCGGAAGTAAACTGTGTTTCTCTGAAAGACATCAGGACATTCTGTCATGCAACCCACTTTCGTTTCTCACACAAAATATTTAAAGTGTCGTCTGTAGATTCTCTTTTGTTTCTTAGTGAACTCCATTTAACTTTACAACTACGTTTTAACTTCAAAGAATCCCGTTTGTAGTTTAGCTTTGTTGTTCTTGAAATCGTGTCTTCTCTTAATTATGTATTTCTGTTACCAATCAGAGAACGCTTTTATCTCCTACGTCATTGTTTTTGACAAGCAGGTCACGCTATACTTCTCGCTTCTATCACTTTACGTCTCATTAGTACCCTGAGTGTATTGTCAACTAACTGAAGAATCTGTCTTCATTTTCTACCATCAAATTGTTTATTATTCACGTATTCACTTTGTATAGAGCACTCCTGCAACTCATCGAAACAAAAAATATTGCACTATGAATGAGGAACGCAAAGCACGAAACACGAAAGGCCTTCGCGCACTTGCGTGTTACGACTGACAAAAGATCATAGAGTTCTGTTGACAAAAAAGGGTCCAAATTTCTTCCGTGAGGCTTTGTTCGCCGGCCAACACGAAGAGCCGGAAGTTGATGTTCGTGAATTTCGGATCAAAAATCAATTTGACTCCATCTTGGGATAAAATTTACATTTTTGTAGTCTTGGATACCTCTCAGTTAATCAAAAGAGAGCATTTCTGGAGGCGTTATGGGGGTAGTATCCAATTCTGACCAAACACTGCCGTCACTTAACACTGACAGTGTCGTAAAGTAAGAAAACACCCAGGAAAAAGTGCTAATTTTCAGTTTGTCTTTGTTCACAACACAACACTAGTAGAGGTTTCGGAATTATAAGTACTCAGAGAAATCTCAGGGCTGCTGGAAGAGCGATTTCCACTCAGAAGATAGAAACATATATCAGGCTTTTACGAGGTGTTCGATGGCCGGGGTATAAACGTACACACCAACAATGACGTTATTGTGCTTCCTCAGAAAAGCGCTTTTAAGCATAAATATTGACGGTACAAATAATAAATTAAGAACAAAGTTTCCACAATAAGACTATTTACAATATCACATGTGCTAACTTGCTTTGGCTTAGGCATTTCGTGGTAAACCACCGT